TTCTCCTGCCATCAAAGTTTCCTTCCTAAAGACCTACTCTTTTCGTATCATCTGTTAGTCTTTTAATTGAGCCTTTTTTTCTGCCACTTTTCCAGCTGAAACTCAGTATTTGAAGTTTCCTGAATTATTACCCCTTCTCAGACCTCCATCCTTTTGCACATGCTGTTCTGTCTGTAGAATTCCCTCTCCTCAGTGCTCTGCCTGGTAAAATCTTATTCATCTTGTACATTTCACTTCTGAGGCTGCCGCCTCTGCTGAGCCTCCCTTGGCTCTCAGTGCAGACTTGGGCCCCCTATGCCTGGGCTTCCACATTCTATGTATGCACCTCCATTTTTGCAGTTATCATGTTGTATTCTAATGGTTTGTGTGCCTCTACTAGACTAAGCTCCATGAGGCCAAGAACAATATTTGTCTTTTTATTACTCAGCACTTAAGATGGAGCCTTGCACAAAGTGGGTGCTCAAGACTGCTGTTACACCTTTGCAAGCTACAGTTGTCTAACAAAGGAACACCTTCTCCATCCGGAAGCAGCCGTCAAAGCACGTGTTAACAAATTCCATGCACTTCAGGCATAGGCAAAGCTTCATTTTTCCAATCAGAATCAACTTACTTTTATTATACACCCAGTCCTAACATTGTTTGTGGTTTTCCAGCGCAGATTAGAGAAAGGAGAGAGGCACTTCTAAAGAGAGTCCTAGTGACAACAGCAGGAAGTGGCCTCTGACGGCCTGTGAGTAAACAACTAGAGAGCACCCGATGCAACACACGTGGCCACCGGGGAGAGGTTGCAGTAGTGCTTCCCTGGCGAGGCCCTGCTTTCTGCAGCCTTCTCTCACAATTCTGAGCCTGGAGAGTTTGTCTTAGGTTAAAAAAACCTTTGCTCACTTCTCTTGTTTTCCTCCCAGCTGAAGACGGAGGCCAGACTCTGAGCCCCTGTCTCCTGGCGATGAGCCTGAAGAAAAGATGACTTCCTCTCTCAGGCTCCTCTTTTCGTCCTCCTCTCCTTGGTGGCAGCAGCAGTCTTGGCTTGGATTTGGTTTTTCAGGAAAGCAAAGCGTACAGTCCATAGTGAATTTTTGCCCTGCCAGACATCGGCTAAAAAGGTGGTTCTCAAACTTGAGTGTGGGTCGGAATCACTTGGAGTCAGGGATTGTTGGACTCCACCCCCAGTTTCTGATTCAAGAGGTATAGGGTATGCACCTAGAAGTGTGCATTTCTAACAAGTTCCTAGGTGATGCTGATGCTGCTGGTCTGGGGACCACACCTTGAGAGTCACTGGCCTGAACAATGAGCCTCAAGTAAGACTACGATGAAAAACTCCAGCCAAACAGGAAAAATACAGAAAATTTCATCCTTGATTATGAACTTCTTGCTTCATTTACACAAGGGCCTGCATTTTTTTTTCCCTAGGAGGACTTTCTGACTTGATGATTTCCACTTGTGGAACCAGTTGAACTGGATGTTTATTATCAGATACTTACTTAGACCAAATAAATATAGTCATAAACTCTGTAAAAATAGAAAATGCTGGGGGCCAGCCTGGTGGCATGGTGGTTAAGTTCGAATGCTCTGCTTCGGCGGCCTGGGATTCGCAGGTTCGGATCCCTGGCGCACACCGACCCACCGCTTGTCAAGCCATGCTGTGGTGGTGTCCCATATAAAGTAGAGGAAGATGGGCACGGATGTTAGCCCAGGGCCAATCTTCCTCAGCAAAAAGAGGAGGATTGGCATTGGATTTTAGCTCAGGGCTAATCTACCTCGCCAAAAAAAAAAAAAAAGAAAAAAGAAAATGCTGGCATCCTGACTTCCCTGCAAGGGTAGTTTTCCAAAACCTACTTCCCTGCAAGGGTAGTTTTCCAAAACCTGCTCTCTCATGGATCTGTATCACTGACAAATATTTAGACCAAAAGCACCAGAAGCAAACCCATGGTCAGAACTTAGCAGTGCTCTGTGCTCTGCTGTCACGTGCCCCCTGCCACCATTCTCCCCAAGCTCTCTGTTTATACCAGATACAGATTTTGTATTAAACCATTAACAGTAGTTGTTAAGGCATCATACTCTTAATAAAAATCAATTTCAAAATTAATTACCTAATGATAGGTCCTAATGTTAAATTACTAAGGTTATAGTCATTGAAAAAATATTAATAATGGAGAGAGTCAATAAAAACATCAGAAAAATTTTAACACAGTTGCAAGAAGACCAACACAGGCATCTTGGGAGGAATGTAACCTGCATTCTTTATGCCTCTCATCAATGGCCTTTGGCTTGAGCACTGTCTTTCTATGTGGTTGTAATTAGACAGAACCCAGTGGTCAGCTTCGAGTTTGAAACAGAATTGTCATTGACAATAAGAGTTCTTGTGTAGGAGAAAAACTCCCCATCATTACCTTAGCAGGACTTGGAGAGAAGGATGAATTATATCCAGTGAATTCCATATTTTATTGGTACCAAAACTCACATTGTTTTGCATCGTGACATCTCTGAAATCCAGAAGCATCTTACAATGGATGGCATTTGATAATCATGGTTGGCCACGTGGTGGTTGAGACGTGCTGTCACCATCTTAAAATGCACAAACTCAGTAGTTATTCCTGGTGGGATGACTTGGTAACTGCAATCTCCATGTTTCTGTCAGCAAATCATAGAAGGACCATCTGGAAAAGAAACATGCTGCCTGTGGTCTGAAAACCTTCTGTTGACACCTTCAGGTAAGATCAAGAACGTGCCAGCATCAAAACGTGTATACTGGGTGTCAGTGGCTTGAAAGCAAACAGCAGTGGAGTACTCTTAAGAAATGTGGCATGGCCAGCGTCTGGTAATTAAGCACACGAACAACTCTGAGTCAAAAAACGATTCAGAAGAAGAATAGAGATTCTGAGTGTGAAGAAATGATAGGAATTCCTTAATGAATTTATTTTGCTTATATTTTCCTTTTTATGTTTGCACAAGAATGATGTATGACAACAATGTTTGTCTAAGTTTAAAAGCTCTCATTCAATAAACATTTTAAAATTCTTAATGATAAAAAGTATTACACAGTTTAATTGGGAATATCTTTCTTTTTAACAGCAGCTCTCAACCTTTTTGATCTGAGGACTCTTTTTATACTCTTAAAAATTACTGAGGACCATAAAGAACTTTTGTTTATGTGGTAGTATCTATCAATATTTCCCATATTAGAAATTTTAAACAGACTTTTAACATTGAAGAATACACAAGCACACGTTCCGTTAGCTGTCAGAGATAATGACATCACATAACACACAGCCTCTGAAAAACCCCAACATACGCAGGTGAGCGAATGAGAGCAAAAAGGGCAGATAATGTCTTAATGTTAATAGGAAAAGAGTTTTGACCTTGCGGATCCCCTGAAAGGGAACCAGACTTTGAGAGCCACTGGCATATAAAATAATGGTGTGTTTTACACCATTAGAGTTAATGAATATGGATATACTTCCACCTAAAATATTGGAAGGAGTAAAATCTTGACAACATGGAAAACTATTGTTAGACAGCTGGTATAGCACTCGGAGACACTAAGAAATCAACTGATGTATTTTTCTTTCGTGGCTGTGGGAAATATTTCCCCCATCCCACTTAAGTGGCCTGCTCACACTGGGTATCCTGCAGGTCTGGGTAATTCTGACCTTAGGAGAAGATCCCAGTGTACCTGGGTTCCAGGACACAGTGGAACTGGCTGTCTAGGAGGAAGACAGGATAAAAGTTGGGACAAAGATGAAAGGAGGAGTGTGGTTGGACCCCCAGGGGAGATAGCTGGATTTCCTGGAGAGTAGGAGAGGAGTTGGGGCTTGCAGTTTCTGCCAGTGACGCAGATCTGGGGAGACATGCATATGGCTGAGCGGGTATCTGTGGAAGCTGGACACTGGGTGCATCGCGCATTGGAGCACCAGCCAGGATCCCACTGGACAGGCAAGCCACAGAGAGGGCAGCCCCTTCTGGGTACCATGCAGGCTTGAGCAAGAAGATCCTAGTGACAGTCACCACAAATTGCTGACCAAGGCCTCTTCTGCCACTGCCACTGTCCTGAGCTGGATTCTTAGAACTGCCCAAGGAAGGAGGACCAGAGCCACGACCAAAAAAAAAGAGAAAGATCAGCTTTTCCCAGGAATCACCGATTAGCTTTGATTTATAAACTACAGAACAGTTACAGCAGCAAAGCAAAGTAGTTATGAGCAGATCTGAGATCACCCTGAATTTGATTTCTAGCTCTGCCACTTACTAGCTGGAGTGGCACTCCCAATACCACCCACGTCACAGGATCCCCCCTGGGAGCACTGGATGAGTGATACATGGAAGCTCTTCAAACAGCGCCTGGCTCATAGTAAGTGTTAGTTATATCTGTGTCATCATCTCTCGTACCTTGGATGTTCTGGAGATGTCATACCTGCCACACTGCCTCCTTTGTGGGTTGGGATGGCTGAAGCGTAACTTTATGTCTACTTGAAGACTAGATTAAAGCCTAGCTGGAGTCCAGGCAACCGAGGGCAGGAACATATAGGAAATTGCAGAAGCGGGCGGCAGAGGCTCCAGTCCCTGAGGTCCTCCTGCCCTAGCCCATGGCACCAAGCAAGCCCTTACCGGCTTCGGAGGGACCAAGGGTTTTTCCCGGGCATGAGCACAGGCTTTCCACGGGCGGCGCGGGCAAATCGGTGCCAACTCCCCAAGATTCCGTAGGGGCCTGGGTACTCCTAGGTTTCTTCTTATTTTAAATTTTTGCCAGGGCATGCTCTGGCGCTTTTTGCACACCGGGGGATGGGGGAGTGCCTGCGAGTCTGAGCTGGGAGGTGGGCGTGGGCAGACCTGGGCAGGACCGTCAAGGCCTTTGTCACCTGCTGGGAGCAGCGGTGTCTACTGGCGTCCTGAGCCTGCCCCTGCCTCCCTCCGCCCCCCCCACGCCCCCGGGGTGGGCGTGGCCGGCTCGCTGCCCGCAGGCTACCCCAGGGGGCGGGGCCGGGGGAGGGGTCTGCGAGCGAGTCACGTCCAACAGGCGGAGCTGAGAGCTGGGAGGCCGGCTGCCGAGGCGCCACATCCGGCGGCTGCCCGGTGCTGCATAAAGCCGCCGCCGCCGCACTTGCCTTGCAGCAGCAGTTCTGGGCTCTTCTCGGTTGCAGGAGCGGCTGCTCCAATGCCCCAGAGCGGCCATGAGCTCCCCGCACTGGTGGGACCAGCTGCGGGCTGGCAGCTCGGAGGTGGACTGGTGCGAGGACAACTACACCATCGTGCCTGCCATCGCCGAGTTCTACAACACGGTGCGGGGCGCGGGAGTGGGGATGGCAGGCGGGCTGACGGGAGGAGGCTGTCCCCAAGCGCCGCCGCGCCTGGGACCTGGACGTGGGTCTCTGCGTGTATCTGGGGCATTCTCTCTCCAGGGCCAGAGTCGACCCACGACCCCTCCCCTGCGCGCTCCTTCCAGTTCTCCGTCTGTCCTCCTCTCCTGTCCCTGTTCCCGACATCTGGGCTCATCCTGCTGCTCTTGTCATTTCCTTCTGATGGCTCTATTGTCTTGTTCGGTCCCCACCCGTCCCGAAGCCAATGGTCCGTGTCACCCATTCTCCCAGTTTGGGTCAGTTGGGGGCGGTGAACCCGCCGGGACAACCCCCTTCCTCCCCTAGGATCTCCGGGGCGTGACGCACTTGGGTCGCATTGTGCGTTTTTGCCCTGAATACCTTTCTAGGAGTCCTGGGAAAGGGGGAGACCCCCCCACCCCCGCCCACCGGCAGGTTTCATGGGCAGGGCCCAGCCGGACCAAGCTGACTTGCCCCACCCCATGAGACTACACTAATAACAGGTCGAGTTACTTTTGGCCAGAATCAAGTTAACTACTACTAGTTCTTATTTCTTTGCCTTTAGTACTGTCTCACACCAGCCCCAACTTCAACTCCCCCAGGCCTGTGCGCTTTCCAGTTATTAAGCCTGGGAATGAAAGGGAAATTTGGGAGTGATTGTGGGCATGTTTTCTGGACTTGCCTGGGTCCCTAGATATGGGCAAGTGGAAACTTCCCCACTGCAGAATCCTGTGGGCTTTTAGTCTTTGTGGGAAGGAAAGCTTACAACTGGGAAGGAAATGCCTCTTCTTTCCATTGTGCCCATGGCTCAGGATTCTGGTACCAAATGTGAGAGTTTGCATGGTCATTTCTGTGTCTTATCTTTTCAATGCCCTAACATGGAAAACAGGAACTCCTGATTTGAGAGTCATTGTGAATTTGAGGTTGTTCTTTAGGATTTTCCCCTTAGATTTGCTGGAGAGAAGTCCTTGGCGAGAGTTGGGTGCTTATTGCCTGGAGGGCTCTCCATGAGCTGTTCTCAGTCCTTCAGTTCATTGATGAGGAATCTGAGCTCTTGAGAAGGGAGCGTCAAGCTCACATTTCTGGCATGGCTGGCGCCACGGTCCAGAAGTCTGCACTCTCCCTCCCCTCAGTGCTGAAATCCATGGCTGCCCTCCACACAAACACTCCTGCTTCTTTTTATGACCAGGTTGGTTCCTTAAGAAAACCTGGCCCTCTGCTGTCCGTAAATACTGTGAAAGGTGCAGTTAGTGGAGGTGGCCGCACCACACCTATTGTACAACCTCTTTCAGAGTATACCATCAGGTGTAGACAGTGCCCACTGAGGACGGGCTGCAGCAGGGTGGGGTACTTACAACAGCCGTAACTCAGTATCTCCATTTGTAAGTGGAGAAGTACTAAGAATTTCACCAGAGTTAAAGAAGAAATGACAGGCTGGGGCCGGGTTCCCACACACCCAGCGAGGTAATTATTTGTGGAGTCTGAGGCCAGCAGAGAGTCAGGCTTGGTTGTTTGGCCAAAAAAGTTAGTGTATAGCTGCTCTGAGCCTACCTGGAAAAGCCCCAGAGTGCTGGATGAGGGGGAGTCTATTCTGTCTTTACTTTTTAATCTCGTCCTATTGGAGCTGTTATATAGTGAGTGCCAAAGTCTTTTCTAGAAATGAACTGTTGATCTTCAGCTGGACTGTCTGTGGCTGATTAGCCCGGCTGGCCCACCTGACAAACCTTATTCTTTGGAATACACATAAACCACAAAATTTGCTTTTAGCAAAGCAGAGAGCTTAAGGGTCTCAGAGAAGTAGTTGGTCACCAGACTTTGTTGGATGGGTCCAAGGGGTTTAGCAAAAACCATTTCCTCCTCTCTGTTCTCACGCCCTAGTTATCATCGGATCCTTATCACAGGACAAATCTGTGCTTATCTTACCCCTGTATTGGGGAAGACAGTGGCCTATGACTCGGTGATAAACATCTCATTAAATCCTCATAGGAAGGCAGCGGGTCTAATTATCCATTTTATAAAAAATAATAGTCATGACTAATTTTGAGGAAAAGTTTAAGGAATTGAAGATGTAGAATCAGGAGAAGACTGGCAGAGGGATCTAGAACCTTCTTAATGGGTCTTGGGGGTAGCACATCACTACTAAAACTTCAGTTGTTCCTGGCTACTATTAATTGTTTGCTGTATGTTGAAGCTCTGCTTGGTACCCTAGGCAGTGAGTGCTGTTTATTATATCCATTTGATAAAGGAGGAAACTGGGGCCTATGTAGATTATGCAACCTGCGGAGGTCTAGAAAATCACAGAGCTATTTAGAACTTGGTCCATTTGACTCTACTAAGATAATACTCTTGAAGATGCAAGTGCTGCTCTAGCTACCCTAGATTGATTAATTTGGGCATAGTACAGAGGTTTGTTATTCTGTCTTTCTTTAACTTAAAACTCCTGCATTGGGACCATTTGATCTATAGGCTAATCATGATGTTTGATATGAGAAAAAGTTTGTTTAAAGTAGTTTTTTTGTTATTGTTGTTTATTATAAAAGTAATAACATGATCATGGTAAAAAAAATTCAGAGTATGCAAGTTACAAAGTGAAAAACACCATTTCTTTATCTTTTCAGACATTTTCGAGGCATGTAAAAAGCACATGTATTTGTGTGAGCATATAAAATATGTATGTATAGTATATACACACACATACCACAGTCTAAGGTTTTTTTCAACCCAATTGAGATCGTACTACACAAACTCTTCTGCGCCTTGGTTTTTTCACATAATATATCTTGGAGATGGTCCCATATTGGCTCATATGGAGTTATCGTCCTCTTTACAATGTCTATACAGTGTTCCATTTAATGGATTGACCATAATGTATTTAACCAGTTAATCCCTTATTGATGGACATTTAGGGCAGTTTCTGTTTGTTTTATTGTTTTCATTTTGGTTTCTGAACAGTGATGCAATGCATATCCTCATATACGCATCTGGATGTACTTTTGCAAATACATCCCCTAGATTGGGAATTGCTGTGTCGGGAGGATGTTCACTTTAAGGCTGATAATTACTAAGTGGCCCACCACGGAGAGTACCCTGGTTTAAGCTCCCACCGACAATGTTTGGGTATACAAAGCATTTTGCTTTTGGGCCAGGCAAATCTCTATTGCCTCAAATCTTGTCATCATCCTTTGCTTCAGCCAACCCCAAACATCTCTTCCAAGAATACATCATGCCCTTCACAGCCTTTTGCTTGTGCACATTTTGTACTTTTGCTTCTATATACAAGTTTTATTGACTTGAGTTCCTTTTTACATTTTACGTTGTAAGGCCACAGTCACACAAAAGAGAAAGACTCCAGATTTAGCTGCTTTGGAGAAAAGTGGGGTCTGCCTTTAACCACTGGGCTTGGCCTTTGGGAACTCTGTTGCTGGGCAGTGACTTGGGGACAGAAGGAAGTCAACTGGTGCTGAAAAAAGAAGTCTTGAAGCAAAATATATGCATAAAATCATCTCATGATCTGTCATCTTCCCCAATCAGCTCTTCTCCCATCATCAAGATAAGGAAAATAGGGTTCTCTTTATATGCCAAAGCCCATACCCCACTATCTGTAGGGCAGAATTATCTATCTATCCATCCATCCATCCATCCATCCATCCATCCATCCATCCATTTCCTGGGCAACCACTGTGTGCCTGTCACAGAAACCAGACCTGCAAACAGCCATCTGGGTAGTGAAGGCCATAACAGACATGTGCACAGTCATCAAGGTGTCATTAGTACTCCGAATGAGGTTGGTGTACTGTGGGAAATAGGGTGGGGGTATTTTGCGAGAAGGCCTCTAAGTAGCGTGACCAACTTGTTCTGGTTTGCTTGGGACTTTCCCGATTTTAAAACTGAAAGTCCCACGCCCTAGAAACTCTCCTTAGTCTCGGGGAAACCAGAACAGTAGGTCATCCCAGAGGCAAGAGGAACAATGGAATGGACAGTTAGGAATCTACATGCAGTGAAGATACACAGTTAACTACTCAACAGGGGAATGCCCTTTAGCTGTTTATCAACCTACTGTTCAGAAAAACATACAGCCCGTTGTTTTGTTAGTATTTACCCTCTGTCTGGGAAAGTGCACATTCACATGCATCAGGATGAGATTGCAGTCTGTTCATGAGATTATTTTGGCACAAATGTTATGTAGGAATTCATAGAATGAGGAACTTTCTAAGGATATAATTAATACATTTTTAAATTGTGGTTTCCTCTCAATTAAAAGCAAATCTGTTCTGCAGGCATTAAACACACCAATTCTCCAAAGAATAATCCAACAATAGGCTTTAAAAAATACCCGTTGGCTGAACTATTCAACTTTAGTGACCCACACAATTTTGAGGGGAAGTTTGATTTCTCTGTGGAGATGGAGCCATTGAATCCGTCTCATAACCATGGCTTGTTTGCTTTTCCGTCTTTCTTTTGGAGTTCCTTCCTCTTTTTGTCTTAGAGAGAGTCTCCCTCTAATTTGGTCTTTTCCTTTTCACGGATTGATGTCTTTAAAAGGCCTTGGGGAGGCCAGCAGGACATTGGTAGATGGGCTATGCAGAAGCAAGAATGTGATTTCCATGTTATTTGGGAGCATATGTTAAAATGATGCTTCTAAATTGAACTCCCTAATACGTGCATTAAAAAAACAAAAGTTTGAAGTATCATAATTTGACTGCAGGTGTAATAAATGGCTTCGTGCTTTTGTGCATAGTGTGTAAATACGTTTAAAAGTGATTAATGTGTACATTGTGGTAGCATAAATGGATAGACCCATTTGGGGGACAGCTTGGCAGTAGATAGTTGCACTTGGCTAAAGCAAGGGAGATTGACAGGACTTGAGGCAATAGAGATATACTGGGGTAAACAGCAAAATATGTTCTATTCCCCAGCATTGTAGGTGGGGCTGTAAAGTGGTGCTCCTTCCACTGGGGAATGGCTAAACTGCTGCCCTGTGCAGCACTTACAGCAGGTGACGTAAATCTGTATGAATGGAAATGAAAAGGTTTGCAAGGCATGTTGTTGAATGAGAAAAGGAAGTTGCAAAATGATAATATTACACTATGTGATCTATATGTATTCGTGTAAATGCAAAGAAAATGACTTGAAGACTCTGAATCTGAGAAAAATGGTTATCTCTAGGGAGGAGGGTAGAAAGAATACTTTAGCTGTGTAATGTATTCATTTCTTTTACAAGAAGACATTCATGTAATATGAAAGGAGAAAGAGCAGGTTTTAAGGTACCTGTGGTATAACAATTCCATTTTTCTCCTTCTTCTCCCCCTTTACCTCCTTTTCTTCCTTCTACTGCTATGTTTAACAAAGGAGAGCCATGTTTACATCATGTAACAGGTCATGTGTGTGATGCAATTCCGAAATTTTTGGATACCAGTTGAGGAGTTAAGCCAAGGAGATCAGAATGTGGTTGGGTGGGTTGAAGGTGAAGATCCGCTTGGGGCAGTGGAAAGAGCACAGGACAGCAAAAGGTTGTGGGCCCCAGCCCCGTGGGTGGTTGCTTTTCTGACACTGGCCAGCCTGGGAGCCTTTCTGGGCCCTCAATTATATCCCCTTGTAAAACAAGGGATGGTCTTTAAGATCTCTCATCTTAACTCTTCAAGATCTCTGATTCTTTAAATCATTCCGTGGAAAGTTACGTGCTGTGATAGTAACAATGAACAACAGCCTACTGCTTATACAGTACGTAGACCCTGTCCTAATTCCTTCTCACCTGCTGCTGCTTAGTAAATGAGGGTCAGCCATATTTCCAGGACTGGAGACTGTGTACCACCTGGGACATCTGAGACCATTTATCCATCCTCTCACCCAGGGTCACCGGAAGCTCATAGGGTTCCTATGTGGGAAAGAGAAAAGAGCGTGTCAACTAGAAAAAGGTACCCCTTTCTCTAGAATGACCCAGCCCCACTAGGGATTTCAGTCTTCGATTGAAATCAAGGCAGCAGCCCTGCTCCCATCCTGCCCCTGACAAAGGATCTTGTTCTCTTCTCTTTACTCGTTTTATTTCTCTCCTACCCGAGCTTTCTCCCCTTTCTAAAACTGTGTCACTCCTAACCCCTCTTGTTCCCAGATGGTGACAGAGGTATGCGTTGGCCACTGCAGTTGCCAGTCCTTGCCTGGGCTATGCCTCAAGTTCTGGGGTTCGCTGATGCCTTTGGTTTAGTTGTACACCAGTGTGATTCCCCAGATCTGGAAAAGCCCTTCTATCCTGGCTCCTTCAGTTCAGTTCAGGCACCCATCCTCACGGTTCCTTTGTGGCCTCTACTGTATTGTCCAACATGAGTGACCAATCTTTTTCTTTTGATAGCTTCCATGCCCTTGGCTTTCCAGACTTCATCTGCCCCATCTGCCTTTCTCTGAATGGTTTGTTTTAGTCTTTTCCGTGGATTCCTCCACTCCATTCCCGATGGTGTTGCTCCTTTAGATTTAGCTGTTGTCTTCACACTCTGCACACTCCCTCCGCGTGCACAGTCCTTCACGAGGAGCCCCTCCCTCCACAATTAGAGATGAAACTTAAAAGCTGAATGTCCTTACCACTTCATATCTTCTAGGATGGCCTTAATTAAAAACAAAAACAAAAACAAACAACCAGAAAATAAATGTTGGCAAGGATATGGAAAAACTAGAACTTTTGTACATTGCTGGTAGGAATGTAAAGTGGTTCAGCCACTGTGGAGAACAATTCGGTGGTTTCTTAATAAGTTAAACGTAGAATTACCATATCATCCGGGAATGCCAATTTGGGGATATACCCAGAAGAAAACAAGTACCCAAAAACTTGTACATGAATGTTCATAACAGCACTATTCACAGCAGTCTGTTAATGGATGAATGGATAAACAAATGTGGATGGATAAACATTCCATACAATGGAATATTATTCAGCCATAGAAAGGAAGTACTGATACATGCTACAACATGGATGAACCTCAAAAACATTATGCTAAGTGAAAGAAGCCAGACACAAAAGGTCATATATTGTATAATTCCACTTTTATGAAATATCCAGAATAGGTAAATTCATAGAGACAGAAAGCAGATTAGTGGTAACTAGGGGCTGAGGGGGAGGGGGAATGGGAAATGCCTGCTTAATGTGTCTAGAGTTTCTTTTTGGGGTGATGAAAACATTTTAGAACTAGATAGAGGTGATGGTTGCACATTATGAATATATTAAATGCCACTGAATTGTATACTCTAAAATGGTTAATTTTATGTTACATGAATTTTACCTCAATTAAAAAAGTCTTAGAAAAAAAGAAAGGAACTGGCTATGATCCCCTAAAAAAACAAAACAAAACAAAAACATACAAAAAATAAATTAAAAAAAGATTAGAGATGAGGTTCTAGAGTTATGCTGTCCAGTAAGGTAGTCACTAGTCACATGTGGCAACTGAACGCGTGAAAAATGGCTGGTCCAGAAGGAGATATGCTGGCAGTGTGAAATTCATACTGAACTTCAAAGCCTTGGTGTGAACAGAAGAATGTAAATATCTCATTAATGATATTTAAATAGCGATTACATGTTGAAAAGACAATATTTTGAATATATTACATTAGATAAGATATATTATTTTAAAAAAACCCAAATGCCCCCAGGAGAGATAACAGAGGGGCTTAAATCCACGATAAAGTCTGAAAGATAAAATATCATTTAAAGCTGAGAAGGAACTTACAAATTCGATCTTTATCGAAAAGTAGGTTTTGATTAGGGTGACAGCTGACAAAGGGAGACTCGAGGAGAAACTAGGAAGAATCCTGCCTTCACGTGGGTCCAAGAGAAAAGGCTGGCCTTGGGGGTGGAAAATGACTGGGGCTGGAACATGTGTAGTCCTTCTCACCTCTTCGTTAAACTTTATTTTTACCATTATTTAGTGCAGGCCTTATTTTTAAAAATGTATGTGCAAGTAAATTAGAATGCTTCATAATCTGTGCAGAAAAAGAATAAGTCATTGATTCTTTGAATCAAAGGAGGAGCCTGGGCAGCTTTCATAGATTGCAGTGTTTTAAAGAAGCGAGAGGGGGCCCTAAATGGTCATTAAAGAAGTTTTCAATTTTGCTGGTTGTGTATCTGCGGTTAAAAAAAAGTGTACGAGCTTAAACAAAGATGTATGGCCACATTCATCCCGGTTTGCAAAGGACATACTTAGAACAAGCTGCTTTATTTTTGTACCCTTTTACTTAGTATTTATCTTTTCGTTTTACATTCTCCCCCCAGATCAGCAACGTCTTGTTTTTCGTTTTACCGCCCATCTGCATGTGCTTGTTTCGTCAGTATGCGACATGCTTCAACAGTGGCATCTACTTAATATGGACTCTTTTAGTTGTAGTAGGTAAGTGGATTCATTTGCCAGCATAGACGGCAAGAGAGGAAATGGAATCCCGCACACTTTCTGTTCTCTTTGAACACTGTGTTTTGTAAACCAAAGTTGCTCTGACGTCGTAGCAAACTTTTATTTTGCTTGCTTGACGCCAAAAGAAGGACTCTTTTGAATACAGGCTTGATAACAAAGTTGGCTGTAATTATCACTAAGTTGGGTTTGAGAGTTTATTTATGTAATAGCTGTTGGTGTTCTGCCAGTGCAATTTTCTGAGAACTTCTGAAGAAAGTCATGTGAACAATTGAACTCTGATGAGACTGTGGTTTCTAATGGACAAAATTAAAAAAACAATTCTAGATGTTTGATCCTTCAACGTTCTGGGAAATACTTGTGTAATTTCCATTTCCTCCCGTAAGCAGATTTAGAATTCTTACCAGTGAGAGAACGTTAACTTTTATTTACTGCTGTTCCCATGAGGCTCTAGTGGGTGAAGACAGAGTGTGTTTAACTGTGGAATTATAAAGTTCTGATGTGCTGATATTTGGGCCCTACTTGATATCCTCTTTCTAGACTTGAAGTCTGCGTGGCTAGTTGGTATGAATTTCTTCCTTCAGTTTCGTTTTTCAGAGAGAGAGAGCGATCTGTGATTGCGATTGGTGAAAGGGCTGTCCTTAAGTAGGGTGTTGAATTTGTGAGCCTGTTCTTCTATGGTGACCTTTTTTATTGGTTGTAATTGGTTTTAGGAATTGGATCTGTCTACTTCCATGCAACCCTTAGTTTCCTGGGTCAGATGCTTGATGAACTTGCCATCCTTTGGGTTCTGATGTGTGCTCTGGCCATGTGGTTCCCCAGAAGGTATCTACCAAAGATCTTTCGGAATGACAGGTAAGCTTGTGCTAAGTATTTTTTGTGTTTACTGCTAGGTGCAATACCCAGTATAAGGATGTATATATCAAGAAAAATAGCCCATGATTGAGTCCAGCCTTATCATATACTTGTTTAATATCCACTGATTGTTTATGGTCTGACAGTAAATTAACTGACAGATAAAAGAGAATTTTAGGGGCTGGCCCGGAGGCGCAGTGATTAAGTTTCGTGTGCTCCGCTTTGGCAGCACAGGTTCATGGGTTCGGATCTCGGGTGTGGACTCATGCTACTTGTCAGCCATGCTGTGGCGGTGTCTCACATACAAAATAGAGGAAGATTGGCACAGATATTAGCTCCGGGTGAATCTTCCTCAGCAAAAAAAAAAAAAGAGAGAGAGAGAGAGAGAATTTTAATATGCTTGAGGAAGAATTTATCTGACATTAGGGACAAAAAATCAAATGTCTCCCTTATTTGATATGAGCGAAAGTGGAAAGATCTTCAGTGGGGGAGAAATTACTGAATAGTAGTCCAAAGACCTTTGATTTCCTGCTGGAACATTTCCTTGAGTTTAATCCTGCTCCACCAGTTTTATATGTTTACAGTGGAATCCACACTGAAGAATTGGTTCTTAGAGCTATAGATACTGTAGTTTTCCAATTGTATTGTTTATGCCTCTGATGAGATCTACACCCACACACACATGCACGCACATACCCACACACATATCTCCAAGCTGGAAACCCAGAATTTCAGGAAAGGATGCATTTTAATATCCATTGTGTTATGCTTATATGGTTATTCATCTAGTAAATATTTTTGGAACACTTACTGTTTACTATGCATTCTTCTAGGCACTGAGATATAACAGTAAACAAAGCAGCAGAATCTCTGTCCTTGATGAGCTTACACTGAAGTTGGGGGGATTAGGAATCAACAAACACACACACACATAAATAGTATAATGTTATGGTGTGATAAAGTGCTATGATGAAAAATGGAGCTGGTAAGGGGACAGTGGTGACTTGGGGGGCTGATTTAGAGTTTGGTCAGGGAAAGCCTTTCTTTTTTTGAGGAAGATTGGCCCTGAACTAACATCTGTTGCCAATCTTCCTCCTTTTCTTTTTTTTCCCTTTTTCCTCCCAAAGCCCCAGTAGATACTTGTATGTCATAGTTGTACACCTTTCTAGTTGCTCTATGTGGGACGCCACCTCAGCGTGGCTTGATGAGCTCTGTGTAGGTCCGTGCCCAGGATCCAAACCGGCAAACCCTGGGCCTCCGAATTGGAGTGCATGAGCTTAACTGCTACGCCACTGGGCTGGCCCCTGGGAAAGCCTTTCTCAGCAGCTGTATAAGGTTGTTAATATTTGAAGAAACAGAAGAGAGTCAACCTCATAAAGATGAGAAATGCTCCCACAACGAATTACCCACATATTTCTCTGCAGGGCACTGTGTTTTGCTAAAATAGATATATGGATCAATAGTCTAAAAATATAGATTCAATTAAGCAAGCTGTGTGTGCCCAGGGAAGAGCTGTACCAGGAAAATAAAAGAATTCATTTAAGTTTTCCTGGTACCCTGAAGAGGGATAGGCGCTGTGCAGCCATCAGAGACGAAGGCTGTTCTCTGTGGACTGATGTGGAGGAGCATCCGGGAAACAAGCTGGCTGCAAAAAGCACGTTGCAGAACCGTGTGTGTAATATCCTAATTTTAGAAAGAATGAACTGGCCTCTTTTTGAGTATATGTCTTTGCGTGTGCACAGAAATGCCTGGGAAGGCCAGGAGAGCAACTGCTACTGTTGGCTACTCTTAGGAATTGGGGTGGAGAGAGAACTTTCACTTTTACCTTTAATCTGTACTGTTTTACAATTTTTTTTTTTTACAAAGAGCACATGTTAATTTTTAATATTAAAAATGCGTTTTTAAATGAAGTAGGAGAAAACATACTTTAATTGGATTAGCTGTGCAATCTTCATCCTGGGCAGCAGGATTTGAATTCAATAGTATGATCTCTGAGTATCATCAGGCAGCTAGACATATCCTCAAGAAGTTTACTTATCAAAAAATGAGAGAGAGAGCGAGCAAGCCAGCTGTTTACAAGTAGCAGTGAAGAGGAGGATGTTCCTGGTCTTAGATGAAATACGGTCTCCATCTTGCTGAGGCCTTCTCCTCAGTGGAAGAAGCATGCTTTAAAATGCAGTGAGTTGGTTTAGGCTGTCTCTGGTTTCTAGTCTTGTTGTCTTGTTTCCTTATTTGGCTTCAGGGGGATGCCTGGGGATGATGCGAAAGCCTTGGGAGGTGGGGAAGAGGTAGGGGGAGGGGAGGAGGTGGACGGCAGGGTCCTGAGGTGGCTTTGCAGGCAGGGACTTTTTGACTCTGCCTGAGAAACATACCATTTACCTTTTGGCTTTTCCTCTTGTCTCAGAAGATGCCCACCAGTCACCTCCATCCTTTCCCTGAGCACGGTGTGTGTTAGGTTGAGAGCTGAGGAACCCCTTTGCTCTTAGATCGAGTCTTTCAAGTCCTGAGATCTGAGCGAGAAGTTGAAGAAATGGGAATAAGAGTTTTGTGTATTTGTTTGTGGCACTCTGAAGGCCTGGCTGGAAATTCCAAGTGACAATTTTTAATGTGTTCATAATAGAGAACCTTTTTCTTTTCTCGTTTCTTGAAAGTGGGAGAGAGGGAATGTTGTTATGAGCAGGACAGAAGAAAACGGGTCAATGGCTGTAGTAAGTAAAGCTTACCGACTTCAATGGTGGAAACATTGTGAGGCAGAGAGGTCTGTGCCCACTTGGGACGATTCTATCGCCGGCGCCGTGCACTGTTTCTTTGGGGAGGATGTGACCCCTCTCTCTTCGGTTTGGGAAGAGTCCTTGGAGGCACCACATACGTCTCTATCCCTGGCTTTGGAGAATACCTGGGTTTGAATCCTAGCTTCCCTGCTTACAAACTGTATAACTTGTCTTGACTCTTTAACTTTCTATTTCGTCACCTGTAAAATTAGGTAAATAATAGTGTTCTCCTCAGGGTTCTTGTGAGATGATCCTGCAGAACACTTCATAGAGTACTAAGAACATAGTGAATGCTCTAAGGTAGCGTTCGTTATTACCAATGGTCTGTAGAGGAGATTTCTGCCCAGCATTTCTGAGATATGTGTACAATTGAAGGAGAGAATGGGCATTGATGATTTTAATGAGCAAAGAAAGAAAAGGTGCATGTTATAGGAAAAGTAGCTCCCTGTAAATCAGGATTTCACCTCTATTTGTGTGTCTTAATTTTCCAGCGGTGGAGAGCTCCAGAAGACCAAACCCCTTTGTGTGGGCTTCCTCGCCCATGACGTGGGGACAGGTGGCAGCTCTGCAGTGCAAGTGGCAGGCCAGACCAAAGATTTCTGGTCAAAACCACGATTTGTGTAGACTAGGGATTGTGCGGTTAAGCTACCTGAATTTACCAGATAGTTAACGTTTCTCTCTCTCTCTCTTTTTATTTTGTGATCTGGACTTTGCTGGAGTATTTCTAAAAACATATTGAGTAGTTCCAGTGTGAGATTTCTGGAGAAGAGAGAGGTAGCTAAGTGACTAGATCAGAAGGATATGGATTTGAACATTAATCTACTTTTTTTAAAGCTCTGATACCTCATTTTGCTCACTTGTAAAGTGGAGATAATACAAGTATCTAGCTCCTAGGGTAAAATATATGGGAAAATCATCTAAGTATCTAGTGCAGTGTCTCTACAGAGTAAGGACTCAATGAGTGCCAGCAGTTATTATGAATGACCAAATGGATAAGTGTTTTGAGGACAAGAATGTCTAGAACAGCAGGAAATTATTAAAGTTCATTAGTAGGTAGGAATAATTGGTGGGTTTTAAAAAAGAAGGGCTTTCTTTCATCTTGCCTAGAATGTCCTAAGAATTGTCAGGACGTGCAGTGAGCTGTTGATGGTTATTAATAATTGTTAGACATTTTTTTTGAGAAAAAAATAACAACAAAGAACTAATAGGCTAATTGTATCCATTTCCTAAAGAATTTATCCTGCTGTGATTTTTATGATTTTGCGTCTATAAAATCCAGGGACAGCCTTCACTTCGTAATCCAGTTTTGAATCCTGAATAGCAGGGTTGCAGGCTGGGGTCTGTCTGTCTGGGTCTCACACTGGCTGGATGACTTGGGGCCACCATCTCTGACTCTCTGGGCCTTATCAATTCCTTACTTACAAAAGGACAGGGGTGGACCATCCAGGACCAAATGCTGTAGTCCTGTGAATATCAGAGGCTTGTTCTAAATAGGTTATGTGTTAGCCCTAAAGGGTAGTTTGAAGCAGTGGATCTTAACCAGGGACATTTCCATCACTCATGGGACATCTGGGAAGTTTATGGACATGCTCTTGGTGGTTGCAGTGATGGGAGGTTTTATCATCCATAAATTTTCTTTCACTTCAGAAGAGTAAATGGGGCATTACCAAATGTTTGATATAATAAGGGCACAAGGTCTGAGAGGGTTGAAAACCACTGCTTTAAAGGGTAGCTAATGATAACAGCATAGCCGTTCTATTTCAATATTGTGGTGACATTATTGGGTTGCTAGATTTTGATTTGGGGAATGCAGGAAGAAGGGGTGCTGAGGGTTCCCTGACCTTGTGTTTCAGTCTGAGCCCATAATGGGCTGGAAAGTTGAAAACAGGACCAGAGACTGCAGTAGGGGTTTCCCATCATCATTGTTTAGAAAACACCCTGTCGGGGCCCCTTGCTCCTGGATATTTCTAGTTCTCTTGTACCCAGGGCCTCTGGTGCTCGGGTCGGCTGGGCTGGCTACGTGACCTCTGTTGACTTCTGCTGGTTGCAGAAGCCGCCTTCCCGAAGCACATTCCTCCACACCCTCTGGACTCAAGGTGGGGAGGTGTCTGCCCATGTTCTCCTTAAAGAAAGCGTGTCTCATCAAGCTTGCTGACTTTGAACTCCTGGCAGCCCTCTACAGAGTCTTTGGTGATTGCAACACCTGCTCAGTCAGATTCTCCCTGAGAGTGTGATATTGTTAACAATAATCATATTATTTAAAATAGCATTTATTCTCAAATGATGGTAGTGACAACAGTAACAGTGGATTTTATTAGCACACACCGTGTACCAGGCACCGTGTCACGTGCTTTAATGCTTGCAAGAACACCATGAGGCAGAGTGTCTTAATTTCCATATGGGAAACTTAAAGCTGGGAGAGTTTACTGACTTGCCAAAGATTCCACAGCTACTAAGTGATGGAGGCAGAATGTGAACACACATGGGTCTCCCTGAAACACCTGTGCTTTTGATCACTGTTGATCTCTCTAACCTGTGTCTGAATCCTAAACCATTGGATACAGGGAAGTGATGCAATTTGGAAGTTTTTGATTGTGTTTATCTGCTCTAAGAAGGCCACAGTGCCTTGGCATGTGTCACAGAACCTCAAACCCAGTGAAAGAGTTATTGGGGGTCCCCAAGGGCCATGCACATGACAGGGGTGGGGGAGCTGTGTGTGTGCTGTTGTCCTCAGGCTGGAGTAGGCAGCCTTTTATCCAGTAGCTGAAGGATGCCTGCCAAGGCCAGGAGAAAAACATGATTCTCCTGAGGATTTGCTGCCTGGATTCTTTCCCATATGTATATTTTTTCTCTGGTGGAAGTTCAGGGCTACAATTCCTATTCATTCCAGTCAGAAAGTTGGCAGCTTGATCAATGATTTCCTGTGCCTTGATGATAAATGGTTTTCCTCTTTAAAAGATAAATTTGTATTTTGAAGGTTTCAATGCACTTTGATTTCTTTATAATGGAATTTCATTCAGATTGGTTTCCTAACCATGACCTGTTCCAGGGCTTTCGGCCAAAGTAAATTGTGCTAATGAGGAATAACAGAAACTTCAGGAAAATCATGTGTTCCTAAATTGCAGTCATGGATGAGGCCTTGGAGATCATCTGGTCCAGCCTTTTCGTTTTATAGGTAAGGAAGTGGAGCCTCAGGGAGAGAAGAAGGAGCGTGTCCAGGATCACGTCGCCACTTCTGGTTCTTTCTACTGAAAGCACCTCCATTGAAGGGTGTGCGGATGGTATCAATTATTTTTCTAAGATTTGTCGTGTTGAAAATTTGTCAGCACAGAATTCCAATGCATACTGGGCTGTGGGCTCTCAATAAATGTAGACACTACCAGAAGTTTTTCTTAAGACTTCTAGTTTTGTGTGCTAGCCATATCGGGCATTTTTCTTTTTTTACCCTAGGAAGCTTTATGGTTTGTAAATAGTTTCTGTTTTTCTTATAAAAGTCATCTATGTTTTCTTTGTAGAACAGAGGTTGGCAAACTATGTTCTGTGGGCCAAACGGGTTCACTGCCAGTTTTGCAAATCAAGTTTTATTGGCACGCAGCCATGCCCATTTGCTTACTTGTCTACAATGACAGAGTTGAATAGCTGTGGCAGAGACCCTATGACTTGCAAAACCTAAAGTATTGACTATTTCACTCTTTATAGGAAAAGTTTGCCAAGCCCTGCTGTAGAACATCTGAAAAAATATAGAAAAGTAACACTAAGAAAACAGTTATTCATATCTCACCCTCAAGGACTTTGGTTGATTCTACTTTTACCATTCTCATGGATAACTATTTTGAAAAATCTCTGATTATTTCCTAAGGATAAATTCCTAGAAGTGGAATTACTGAGCCAGTGAGTGTGAAAGGTCTTTGGACTCCCAATACTTGGTGCAGAATTTCTTTTCAGATTGCATTCCCCCTAGTAGTGCCTGGACCCTGCACTTGTTTCAGCAAACAAACAAGACCTGCTTTGCTAATAGATTTGGTTTGCTTTCACCAATTCAGGGGCAGGTTCAAGGCGGTGGTCTGCGTCCTGTCTGCCGTTACAACATGCCTGGCGTTTGTCAAGCCCGCCATCAACAACATCTCTCTGATGACCCTGGGAGTTCCTTGCACTGCGCTGCTCATTGCAGAGCTCAAGAGGTGGGTGCCTTTCTTCCTGCCTGCCCTTTAGGCTATCCCTGTGATGGGGACCCACCAGCTCCTGGTTCTTGTACTGCCCTCTGGTGTGGAAGAGGAGTTTTACTATTCATGAAGGGTTAGTTTCTGACTGTTGGATTGGAAACAGGTTTGATGGTTTGGTGTCAAATGTGAATCTTCTCATTTTCAGAAAGAGGGGAGCAGCTGTTTAATGGATGCACTGCATCCCAAGGGTTAAAGCTAGTTTAGCAGGAACATCTCAAGGACCTGGTGAGTGCCTAGACCAAGCTGCCTAGACTTAACTCTGTAGAAAGGAAAATAGATTTGTTCATATGACAAGAATAAGGAGAAAGGAAGAGTCCTAAAGAGGCTATTGCATTTACACACTGAAGGAAAGTAAATGAATTTCTATATGCAACACCACGTTGACTTCAGGTATAATACTGTTGACTGTGTTGCTTGCTCTGAGGCTGAGTTTCTTATTTACAATCTATCAGTTTGTAAAGCCTTTGCTGTTTGCAGAAGCATTTTCCTCTGGGAAGTTGTATACTCAGAGTTCAGGTTGATATCCAGAAACATTTTCGTTTAGCTCTTGTGGAACAAAACTGTCTTCTAGCCCCAATTAAAATACATCTAACCGCTGCCCTTATTTTAATACCCTTTGAAAATGCTTCTTTTTCTTTGCTCCCACTTTTAGAACTACATTTTAATTCATGACTCTCTCACTGTTATGGACATGGAGTGTCTTCCCTGAAGTCTTGTGTTTATCCCCCTTGGTGAGAGTTGCTCTATGCAATGTGTTAAGTTAGCTTTCTCTCAGACTTTGTTTTGAAAGGGGATATATATGTACACATTTCTTTCCATTGCTTTGCCTGTGGGGGTTGCTTTGATTGTCAATACTGCGAGGCAGAGTCAGAGATGGTTGAAGAGGTATTTAAACTTGCTGGCTAGCAGCAGACGGACGCTCCTGGGTCTTGTCTTGTTGGCTTCTCTGAGTAGCCTTCAAGGACTGGGGAAGTAAGAGACCCATCTCAGAACACTAACAGATCTTGAAGCTCTTTGGAAAACACACAATTAAATTGCTGATGAGGACATCTGAAATGGATTCGTAACAGTCAGTCTAGTGGTGCTGGCTTATAATAGGCCTGAAGTGAGGAGAATGTTCTGGACTTCACTATGTTTCTTGAGAATTCACTCAATCTAGTTTCATTTTACCTCTTGAGTCTAATAATATGTTTTGGCCTATAATTTTGTTAAAAAATAGCTTAAGGAAAGGAAAAAGATTTTTAATCCCTAATACCTGAACAAGAGCAAATGAGGGAAGATAAGTGGTTAGGGCAGATTATTGTATAGTTTAAATAAATTCTGTGTCACAATTGTGATCTTTAAGCAGGGAAATATATTTTCCTGTAATACTCTAATCTTTGTAAGTAGTTACAAAGGAAATAGTTTATGTTCCATATTTAAAATCTTTGCCCCTGAAAAGCTAGCCATCACTACAGCTAATTGGTCTTCATCATCACATTAACAAATTGCAGCATGATGGGAAGCATCCCTCCTTCCATCGAGGGCCAGTCTTTCTACCTAGTGATGATTCCCTCCATTCTCCTATACCTACTTGACTCCTGTAAATTGTCTACAGTGTCATCCCTCTCTCTCCAAAGGATCCTTCCCATTAGCCTATAAAAACGTTTGAGTCTCTTCCACCTTCTCTAACACCAGCTGGACTCAATCCACGTCCGTCTCCAGCCACCACTCGTTCTCTCTCTTGTACGTCACAGCCAAACTTATTTAAAAGTTGTCTCCACCCCTCACCTTTTATTTACTCTTCACCCCACTCCAGTCTGGCTTCTGCCCCCACTTTGATACCCAAACCCTCTTGGTTATACATCCAATGATTATTTTTCAGTCTTCCTGAGTCTTATGCGTTGTTCTCTCAGCTGTTTGCACAATTCATCTCTTCTTGAAACGTTCTTTCCTGTGCCTCCTATGACACCAAGCCCTCCTGGGTTTCTCCTAACTCTGCGGCAGCTCCTTTCCAGTCTCTCGTGTAAGCTCTTTCTTTTCTACACACCTTTGCATGTAGGGATCCCTTAAGGTGTAGCTCACCTCTCAGCTTTTCTCCCTTTATACTTCCCCCTAAAAGGTCTTGTCTACTCCCATGGCTTCAATTACTGTACAGACACGAATGACTCTCCAACCCCGTCCTCCCTTCTACGTCCACCATATGTATCTAGCTGCCTACCTGACCTCTCCAACTCCACGTGTCACAGGCGTCTCGAATTCAACCAGATTCCTGATCTGCCTTTTCCAGTCTGGCCTCTTAATATTTCCAGCTGCAGTAAATGGGAGCACTATTTACCCATTTGCTCGAGCCAGAAGCCTGGCTTCCTCTTCCTTCCCTGAACACCGCATCTGATCACAGTCATTTTTCTATTAGGCGACATTGCAATTAAGATAATGTTCGAAATCCTCAACATGGCCCCTGCCTGCTGATCTCTCCCACACGAAGCTCCCCCTTACACTCTGTCCTCCAGCCATTCTGACCTTCCACGTCCCCAAGGGGGCCTCGCTCCTTCCGGCCCTAGGTTCACGTTCATGCTGTCCCTTCTTTCTGACCCTTTTGCTTGGCTCACTTCTCCTCATCCTTCAGATTTTGGTTCAACTGTTTATATGCTCTCATAGCATCCCAAATTTCTCCTTTATGGTATCCATCCCGGTTGTAATTAAAAAAGTATTTGTGCTGTTGCTTTGTTCAACATCTGTCTCCTCTGCTCGACGCAGACTCCACGTGGGCAGGGAGGAGGTCCCTGTGTTCACTGCTGTCCCCATTCCCACCCGAGTCCCAGCAAGGAAAGAGAAGACAGCTGGTGGCCTGCTTTGATAAAATTCCCAGACGAGAGGATGCCCTCGTCGCTCTTTGCGTTTCCTTCCAGGATCTTCCCTGCTTGTCATCAGCCATGATCTGTAATGTCTCAGCTAAATGTTTCTCATTGCACCTCCCTCTGCTCAGAGGAAATAGGGGAGGGCCTGGTTTTAGCTTTCTGTTTCTCATTAGCCTCATTCTGAGAGCTTGTTTCTAGTCTGTTCAGATTTTCATTGTCCTTTCCCAACTTTCTCTTGGACATGAGGAAACAAAATTTTATTATGATTCGGGGTCATGACCTGACATTTACTGAAATTTGTCATGTTGTCACAATCCCGAGTGACTCAGCTACATCTAAACTATTTTAAAATGGACTGTTTTTCTGATTCTAGGAGTGAGTTTATTGTTAAGAAAAACTTTGAGAATGTGACAAAGGGTCAAGAAAAGAAGAAACGGTAGATATCCTTCAGGTTTTTCTATCCTAAAATAGGGTCTTGCTGTGTATATGACTTTTGTCCTGCCTTTTCCACTTAACCTCACACTGACATTTTGAGATAAGCCCTGGAAAGTGGGAATAAAACCTAATGGAGCCCAGGTTTGGACAAGCCACAAGCGCAAGTACGCCTGGTCAGCGGCGTCTAGCAGGACCTGTCCCTCTAGAAACAGGAAGGGACAGTACCAGGCAGCCCCGAGACCCTGACTCTGCAGTGCTTTCCCTGCCTGCTTCGTAGGGGTCAGCCCAGCCCTGACCTGCCCCTCATGTGACCAATCGCCTGACCTTCTGCCTCTTTCTTGCCATGCGACACGTGACTGCGTCTCCGGCTCCCTGTGCTGCTGTGTTCCTTAAGCCAGACTTTCTCGGTTTAATAAAATTGAGTGTACATAGAACCTCTTGTGCCAGCCTAATTGTCTATATATTTGTTGATATTTGTTTTTGTCAGTTTTCATTTCGTCTTTTACAATAGCAAGGCAAGAACCCTCTATTTTGCCCTTTACAGTGCCTACCGTGGATTCTGAGGATTTGGTGCCCAATCAATAAGGTTACTGCTTTTTGTTTTTTTAATATAAAAAAAAATGTTCTGCCCAGGTAACTAGAATCCAATTACAATTGTCCTTTACTTCCTATTTATCTATTCATTCAGCAAGCATTTATTTAATGCCTGTTCTGGGCGCTGGATATACACGGGTGAATAAAATAGATGTAGTTGCTACTGTCATTGGTCTCACGATCTAGTTGGATACTAGACATTAAGAAAATACACAAATGACTACAGAATTTCAGCTTGTGACAAGTGTCATGAAGGAAAATGACAGGGTGCCATGAGAGACTATAATGGGGGAAACTACGTTGGATGGTGGTGGGGGCTGTCAGAGAAAGTCTATTTGAGACAGTGCTCTTAAAGCTGAGACCTGAAGAGCTGCAGAAAGCTGGGCCCAGAGTGAGGCACAGCCTGGGAGAGGGAACAGCAGGTCTGAGGGGGAGCTGTTCAGAGTAGAGTGTGCTGAAGAGACAGGGGAAAATGGAAATGGTTAATCTCTTTGTTCTAGTCACTAAGTAGGAATCTAGTCACTAAGTATGTCATGGGCCTTTATTAATTCTTTCAAAAAAATTTTCAAGGGATATGTGTAGCTCTCCTACAAAAGAGGGTTTCGGGTTGCTTTTTGAGCAGATCTTTCTGAACCTGCTGCCCGTCCTGTTTTTACTGATGCTTTTGCTGATGTTTCTGTCCAGCAGCTGGGAAAGGTACCAGCAAGTCAGGCTTTGGACCCCATTTATATGTTCGCACAAATACACACAAGTAAAGATGGCCCCTTCTCTGGAGCTGATGTCATGTTGGACTCTGGGGCCTGAGAGAGAGCTTGACTGACTGAGGAGCAGTCCACTGAGGGATAGAGACCCAGGGGGAGGGTTTAGAAGGCCCCTCACAATAGATGTTAGCTCAGAGCCGCTCTTCCTCAGCAAAAAGAGGAGGATTAGCATGGATGTTAGCTCAGGGCTGATCTTCCTCACACATACACACAAAAAAAGAAAGCCCCTCAGCCACCAGCTGCCTCTGGGCACTCCTCCCAGGAATAGAAGTCACTCACTGTATGAGCAATTCGGTAACAAGGAAATAAACGGCAATTGAAATTTCCTTTGGGCTGTTAGGATTTGTTTCAGAAAAACATTTCGTCCCAGTGTATGTAAGAGCTCATTCTTTCGTTTGGTGAATATCGGGAGCCTTCCATGTGACCGGCACTGTTCCAGGGGCTGGAGATACAGCAGCGAACGGCTTCCATGTCAATGGGGAGACAGACTGTACACAAATATATAAGTAAAGCAGAGGATGTCGGAGGGGTTATAATCGATACAGAGAAAATTAGAGGAGTGGAGAAGGTGATAGGGAGGGTTGTTTAGGGGGTGGAGACTGGTGATTGTTAAAAACAGTGGTCAGTCAAGGGCTTACTGAGTGACATTTGAGCAAAGATTGAAGATGGTGAGCCATGTGGAACAGCATTCCAGGCAGCGGGAAAAGCAAATGCCAAGGCATGGAGGACCATGCCTGGGATATTTGAGGAATGGCAAGGATCCCCTGGGGCTTTGATGAACAGAAGCAGCGAAGGGCAGAGTACATAGGAGAAGCCAGCACATGAGGGGCCCTGTGGCCACTGTGGGCACTGTGGCTTCTGGGAAAAGGGGAAGTTGTGGGAAGCTTTTGAGCAGTGTTGAGAGTTGACTGTGAGAGCAAGGGTAGATGGAGGTGATGCTGTAATTAGGCAAGACGTGATAGTGGCTTGGACCTGGGAGGAGGTGGTGGGAAGAGGTCAGATTTGTGATATGTTCTGAAGGTAGAGCTGCTGGATTGGGTGTAGGGTGTGTGAGAAGAGAACAATGGCTCCAAGATTCTTGGCCTGAGCTTCTGAACGCATGGAATGACCTTTTCTTGAGAGGGCTGGGATAACAACAAATGTTGGGCAGAGGGAAAGATTAGGAGTTCATCATGGTCATGTTACATTGAGATCCATATTAGATCTCGGGGGGACATGTCGGGAATGTAGTTGGGTGTGTGAGCCTGCAGTTAGGGGAGAGGCCCGGGTGGGAAGTGTGGCTCCATGAGTCATGAGTGTACATGTGGTATTTATGTCCACGAGTGTGTGGAGTGACGGAATGTTGGGTAGGAAGTCCAGCGCCAAGGGGTTGGGGGATGTGAGGACCCAGAGAAGTGACCAGTGAGGTGGGCGGAAACCAGGACTGACGGCCACTTGCTCTCTGGATCCCCATCCAGGTGTGACAACATGCGTGTATTTAAGCTGGGCCTCTTCTCGGGCCTCTGGTGGACCCTCGCCCTCTTCTGCTGGATCAGCGACCGAGCCTTCTGTGAGCTGTTGTCGTCCTTCCACTTTCCCTACCTGCACTGTGTGTGGTAAGCCTGGCTGATGGGGAGTTGGCTGCGAGGCAGGTGTCTGTATTGTGCAGGGTGCACAGGTGTGCACAGGGGACAGCAGAGCCTGAGGGCCCCTCCCTCCTCACGTAGACTGTCAGGCGTTTCAGAAGCAACTGAAAGTATTGTCAGAAGCAGAATTGGCCCTGGGGAGCAGGCTTAGCCAGAACAAAAAGACCTAATTGTTTATGCTTCAAGTCTGCGGTCTATTTCCCCACCTCCATTATTAAAGCATAAAGGAGCTTGAAAACCCAATCTGTAACCTGAGCTCTAGCTGGATCTCTGGGGTGCTGGGAGGCGGGGAGGCTTGGGACAGATGGGATTTGGGATCAGGGACAGTCCCGAGTAGCAGCCACACCTTTTGGGTCTGAGTGACCAGGTGAAGGCATGGGCCTCCCAGGTCGTCTAGGGACAGTCTCACCCACTCACTTGACAGGTGGAGACAGAGGCCCAGAGAAGTGAAGTGAATGGTTCAGGATCACCATCTGGTTATGTAAAACCAGCCCAGGAGTCTGATAATAGGGAATTGGATCATCTCTACTTTGGAATGCTCAGGATACACTATTAGGTTAAAAAAGAAAAGAAAAGAAAAAGCAGGTTACAAAACAGCACGCAGAATCCTATACTCGGAAAGCTGAGGAGGAAATCGAGCGGTTCCTCCTAGGAACCGCTTCACTCCAAACCAGAGCCGTCTTTCCCTCTCTGTCCTCCAGGCCTCCTGGTTGTGAACAATAACAAGGGCCAAGAGAATCTGCTTTAGACTGTCCCTTGTAAATTGAGAGCATCCAGGGAGGAGTTCTCGTGGTAAAGAGTGGGAGAAACTTTGTCAGATCCAGGTTCAGGAGAAGCTGGGCTTCTCTCAGGAGATGGCTAAGACTCTCCGGTTTGAAGGAACTTGCCTGAATTCCCTTGAACATATGAACTTGTATGTACCTACCATGAGACCCGGTCTGCTCTCAGTTTGAGGCCTGGGGACTTCCAGAACTGTCTGCAAAAGACAAAACAAAGTAAAACAGTACAAATTGGAGATTCCAGTCTCAGGATCCATTGTCTGAAATTTCTTAGGGTCAGCCTCGACTCACACTGGTGAATTTAGACACACTTTTATATTTGCTGAGTTATAAATTACAGATAATAAAATGCACAGATTTTAAGTGTATCGTCTGATAAGTTTTGATGAATGTATGCACCTGTATAAATATGACCTCCTTCAAGATACTTTAGTACATTTTTATCAATCCAAGGTCCCTGGTCATACTAGTGATTTAAGTAAAATTCAAAACTTAGACTGTAATAATTTTGCCTCAAACTTAATTTGTTTTTCAATTTGGTGTACTTTCTGTTTTGTTTTTCAAAGTTGAACCATCTTTTTGTCCCAGTTATAAAATGACATACATTTATTTTTTATGGCAAATTTAAACAACAGAGAAATATAGAAAGAGGGAGGCTCTCGTAATTCCATCCACCAAAGAGAGATAGGTAACAATTGTTAACAGCCTAAAGTATATCCTTCCAGATTTTATATATATATATATTTCTCTAATTCTACTTTTTAAAAACAAAAATAGCACCATTCTATACATGATGCCAACTGCTCCTTTTTTTGTTGTTTAAACCAAATGCTAGATCCTGGACAGCTTTGCTTACCAGTGCATATATATTATTTTTGTGATTTTTTTGTATCCAATTAATACTTCACAACATGAATACTTTATAATTTATTTACCAATCTCTCTGTTAATACATATTTAGGTTATTTCTAATTTTTCACTTTTGCAAACAATCGGTAATGAACAGCTATATTTGTCACATGCCTGAATATTTCTTTAGTTTAAATTGTAATATATATGGCCAAATCCAGAGAGATTGTATCAATTAATACTTTTTACTAAAGTCTATAAGATAGGGCCTTTTACCCACACTTTCACCTATACTAGACATTATTACCCGGATTGAAATCTTTTAAATCTTTGTTAACCTGATTGAAAAAAATTCTATTTTGTTATTTTCTCGTCTTTTTAAAAAATTAGTAGAGTTGGGCATTTTTTCAAATGTAAATTTGCTGTATATATTTTCTCTTTTGAAATGTGCCTTTTACGTTTCTGTTTTCCCTGTGGAGTATTTCTATTTTTAAAAATTTATATCCAGCACCTAGTGCCTGGCATAGCAGACAGTCATTCCTGTTGAATAACTACGTGCCATTTATCGTGCAAATTTGCCACATTTTCAAAAGTACAAAGAATAATACATCGAGCCCCCAGGTAGGCAATACCCAGCTGCAGGATTATCTACATACGGCCAGTCTTATTCATGCCACCCCACCCACTACCCATGCTCACCCTGATTATTTTACAGCAAATCCCCCACATCCTATGCAATGATTAGTTTTTTAGGTTTCTTTGTAATATAGACATTTTAACTCTTTGTCATATGGTGCAAATATTACCCCTAGTTCCCATTTGTGCTTCAGTTTGTTAATGATATTTTTGTGCCACACCAGTTTTAAACTTTCATGTTCTCACATCTGGCAGTCTTTTCCTTTTGAGTTTCGGGTTTTTTTCTCTACATGCATTACAGAACGGCTGTCGCAGCTATTCCCTTTAGGGTTTCTGAGTTTTGTGTCATTGTAAGAAAGGCCTCTCCCACCAAAATTTATAAAAATATTTTCTTTGAATGTATTTTAAAAAGGTATTTTAAATCTTTAATTCGTCTGGAATTAAGTTTCAGTATAAGGTATGAAGCAGGATTACGTGCCTTTAATTGGTCCCTTGCTTGATAAAGGTTAATATTAAAACCTTTTACAGGCACAGTAAAGATAAATTGAAAAAAAAGGGTTCCCCTACTAAACTGAAAAGCAGTTTAATCAGTATAAAATGATTCCTAATGCAGGGCATCAAATATCTACAGCCAATTACTCAAGTGAGAAGGTGGGATCTAATCAGATGTGCTCAGTTATTTCCATTATCTTGGCGCCTCTGTTTTAAATTCCTGGGCCTTATTAATCTTCTTGGTCGAGCCCCAAAGGCATTTTCGAGTTTGTTCTTGTTATCAAGCTGGAATATTTTAGAACATTCTCCACGAGGCTTAGTTTACTCAGGGTTTATCTTTCTCCCGCTGTTCGGGGACTATTGGTCGCCTTTGCCCCTTTGTGATTAGAAGAGGCCCTGGACTGTCTTTACAGCCAGGAAAGGTGGGCTAGCCCAGGGGAGGAGCAGGCTGAGCCGAGGCAGTGCGTCTGGGCCCGGGTCAAGTTCTCACCTCTGTCTCGCTTGCAGGCACATCCTCATCTGCCTGGCCGCCTACCTGGGATGCGTGTGCTTTGCCTACTTTGATGCTGCATCTGAGATCCCCGAGCAAGGCCCCGTCATCAAGTTCTGGCCCAGTGAGAAATGGGCCTTCATTGGCGTCCCCTACGTGTCCCTCCTGTGTGCCAAGAAATCACCGATCAAGATCACGTGATGGCAAGGGGGGGCCGGCCTCTCTGCTTCTTTTCCCTCCTGCACCAGGCTTCCTTCGCCAGCAGACAGCCAGGGGGGTTCGCAGACTCAGGGTGGGGTCTGTCTTTTTAAAATTCTGTTTCCTTGGGCTCTAGCTAGTGTGTCTGTGGACTGTTAGGACTCCACTGTGCGTGGGGAGAAGCCAGTGTCTTCCCCTTTTCCAAAGATGGAGAATCGAGGGCTGAGAGGCACCGGGTGTACCTTCTCAGCATCCCTTCCAGATGCAGTGACTTGTTGGGCTGTGTCCTTGTGGCGATGGCAGAGCAGTCCCTCAGGGGACCCAGTGCTCACAGTGCCTCGCTTCCTGGAGAGAGTTTGCCTGCTCCAGACCCCACCATTCCCATGCGCTTTCGGTGTGGACTCTCCTGCTGACAGACAGACCCTGCGACAGACAAGACCCTCTGACTGTCTGGTGGAAGATGCCAGAGATCTTCATTTGGGGATACCATCATCCTAAAACAAAACCAAACAATGGAAGCACACACTGGGCTTGTGGCTAAGGAAGCTAGTTTTCCACTCACAGTTCTCAATAACCCAGGTTTTATGTGCATTTGTGAATCCTTTTACTACTACCTCTGCTGAGAGATGGAGACTTGACTTCAGATGAGGGTGAAGCTAATGAGAAAAACCTTGTGTGCCAAAAACTACACTCCACTTTAAGCCACTCTTGAAGATGAGCACAGTTTTTAAATGTGGACGTTGTTCGCCCCCCACCCCAGCCCAGTAGCCTGTATTCTTGTCTGTATAGCTTCGATGTGAGGTCCAAACGCAGACCCCCAGCTCCTTACTGCTTGCCCTCTGCAAGATTGCCATAGGGCTCGTGACAATCGTGGTGGGGGTCCTGGTGCAAAATTTGGAGCACACGTGAAGTTTTGGAAACCTGTCCTCATTGGAAGCCTCCTGTGTGCTATCCTATTCTGGAATTATCCTTGAGAATCCCCCCTCTTCTTTCTCTAATATTTACTATGGGAACTCACTCCATACTCTCACAGTGCGAGGTGCTTCCTGTGGTTTCTCTGAGCATCTAACTGCTCGCTGTTCTCACATCCTGGAAGTCACCTCACACTGGCCTCTTTGGGTCGTTGGTGCTATAGGCAAATCTGTTGCCTTCTGAGTTTTTCTCACCTCAAGTGACATTGGCCACGACTAATCTCCTTTTCGTTGCGCTGAATGGAGAGCTGTCTGGAAGGTGAAGTGGGAACTAATGAACTCAGGGATACTCATTTTAACTCAGGCGTCTCCTGCTTTGCGACGTTCCATTGTGAGAGAGGGCAGGACAGATGTGTCCTTGTGTGGACAGGAATCGTGTCCTGTCCAAGAACAGGGCAGTAGTAGTTTTTGGTGTGTCCAGGAACTCTTACTCTGGTTAGAATTTGCACAGGTTCTAAGGTGAAAAGTCCCATCAGCAACTGAATTTAGAGTTTAAAGATGAATGACTTTATCCTACTTCTGTGGTTTTCAAATTATTTTAGCAGCGGACCCCTGTTTGCAGTCAGAAGTCTTTATGGAACCCTCATGTGTGAAATAGGTTGTATTCTATTAGCTTAAATTTATTTTAAGGTTAAACTTATATAGCATTTCCCTAATAATATATCAGGCAGCGAAAATGCAAATTAACAATTCGGTGGTTTCCAAAATAGAAGAATTTGGTATGGAATGAGTGTACACGTTGCTTTTTATAGTTTAAAAATAAATTTAAAAGATGATATTTTAATTGAATATTTGTGGAACCTCTATGAGACCCGAGTGGCTCATGGAACAGAATTTGAAAACTGCTGTTAAGTCCTTTGGGTTTTAAGTCTGGAATTTTTTATAGAGAAATATCACTGTCTTCACTCGGGTTGACTCACTGGGCATGGATTCTGGCCTCATCCATCCTGCAGTACAAAAATGTTCCAAAGTAGAGGGTTTGATGTGTTTTAAGCCCAGCTGTCTTAGCGTGGAAGCGTAGAAGGAGAAATAGAGAGTGAAGGAAATGTTTTATGTGTGTGCGAGGTTTAATTTCTGTCTTGAGGGTTCCTCAGTGAGGGGAGCAGTGTTCCAACAGTCAAGAAGGGACTGTTTCTGCCTGTCAGGTGAAGGGCTTGTTCCCTGGGGAACACCACCTCCAGCCCCCAAGGCTTTGACCCTGTTCTTCTGGAAGTTTCTGAGTGTCCTTGGGAAATAGGAATAAAATATGACTCTGCTGGAAGGGCTATTTCCATCCCTGTTCTACAAGACAGATGACTCAGTTAAGATGTCAGAGGAATGCTTTTGATATGAAACACAGAGTGCTCTTCTAGAGAACGGTTCTAACTAGCTGAGGGCTGACAAAGAAGTGTGGAATGCGCTATATTTGAGGAGGACAAAACATAACTCTTACTTTTGAACAGAAATCACTATAGCTTGCCTTGTGGGGTCGTGAGTCAAAAGGGTGGGAATACACCAGTCTTGTTTTAAGTTAGGTTTGTGGCATCATCCATATTATTTATATTTATAATGCTTCTATAGCACTACATCACTCTTTAAAGAAAATCGGGAAACTACAGAAAAGTCGAAGAAGAAGAAACAAGTAATCTGTATTTCTTTCTGTTGCTCAAGGACAACCATTGTTAATATTTTGGTATATTTCCTTCTCATCTTTTTTTTCCCCCTAATACAGTTGTGAATAAAAGTCTTTTAGAGCTGACAGTTTACCCTGTAGCTTGAATGGAATATAAGTGCCAGCTGGGTATTTTTCATGGCGAACCGGTGTTGGAATACACTGAAATGAGCTTACACTTGAGTGCTCATCACTGGATTCTGAGACTTACTACTGAGTCTTCCCTGACCTGAATGAGCCCTATGAAATAACGAACTGAATCTACTTTTTGATATGCTTCTGCCCTTGGACTGACAAGTCACAGGAAAGAGCTGTTCAATATATGGCTCTACAGGTTTGGGTGTTTTCAGATTTTAAAATAGTGAATAGCTTATTTCATTCATTGATGTGCAATCAAGAATCTTGTTTTTTCCCTGATAATACAGGGCACTGGAGATTTGACATTGAGGGGCTAGGTCATGGCAGTTACTCAGCATGGCTATCAGATTTTTGTGCTAGTTAGAATTTGCCCAAGATCGATACCCAGCAGGAACTGGATTTAAAATATCAAAAAACACGAATGTTACCAAGTGATCATTTAAGTCAATGATTCTTGTTTTATAGTGTTTGTTGATTTTAGAAAAAGAAATCTTTTCTCCCTTTTATGATTATATTGTTATAAAACCAGCACTTCAGTAATATATTTAAGGTGTGCGGGGATGAGAAATCTGAATCTATTTGGTAAGAGGCTACATTTTGGGGGAACTCTGTGCCTGTCCCTCTGAAGAGTGCCTAAAACATTAATTATGGATCAAAGATGTTCTGTTGGGGGACTAAGCTTGATGGTCATCAAGCACAGGCTTTGTAAAAGTCCTGTCACCTATTCGGATTATTGGATTTCTCAGGGTGTGAACTTCTCCCCAGTTCGTCATGCTTCAGGAGCCAGTGCTGTGTTGGAGGCCCCCGGACTGGAATTTGACTGTTCCTCACTCTTTATCCCTCGGGGCTGACATGGAACCATCTCTGGGGGACAGATGAGGGCTGAAGCTGTCCTGGTCAGAGCCCCTCTCATAGTCCTTTTCCCCAAATGAACTTGGAACCTTCTATAGCCAGCTCTTGGCATGGGTGCTGCCATTCTAGCTGGTCAGAGAAGTCTCTGGCCAGATCAGGGTTCTCAGTGGGTTTTACAGACATCATTCTCCTACAGATTTTTTTTTTCTACATGGCACCTACTCTGAGGGACTAATTGTTTGAACTGTATCTTTCCCTATATGTTAAACCAAATTTAAGACTATTTTGTAACCACAGTGTGTAATCAGAGTGAATATAGTATTTTCGGATGTATACCTTGTTTTGTATTTTATGTAGGGTGAGCCATATAAGGGTGGTGTGCCCATGGCTGTGGTAGCATTGAATCGCCATTGCTTTGGGGCTGATTTAAGGCCTTTGAAGTGGAGCTTTTTGCACTTTATGCTCTTTCTGTGAACTGACTATGAAAGCTATGTTTGATATTAAAGCCATCGGTGGCAATTTCTGTGAGTGAATCTGTATGAGTTTGTGTTTATTTCCAAAATGATTTCTGAAATATCTGCAGTGAAAAATGCATTGAATGGACTGTAGAGCAAAGCATATTTGCCCAAATTCATTTGTTAATGAATTTGAGTATCACTGTTATTAAACATACTTAAAATTAGTGTAGTTAATTGTTGGTTTCTTCTCAGAGCTGTGAAATCAATACACCTAAATATTTCCAGTATAAAGTACCTAAAAGCAGATTATTTCTGTTAAAAGTTCTATAATGATATATGAATATAAAATCTCAAATATAGAAAATAATTCATCTCTGCTGGATTTCATCCAATCACTGGAAGGAAGATCATATGACATTTCAAAATAGTAAATAACTTTAGCAGGAAAATTCTGTATCTACCTATTTTTCTTAATTTCCCATGACATTTTTTTTAATTAAAGGATTCATAGGCCATCATATTTAAAAGAATAACATGACCACCAGAGAAGAAAGATGGGATCAGCATTATCAATATCTTTACAGTGGTTTTTAAGACTTTTTCTCCGGCCGGGGTGGAGCGGACGAGGAGCAGCCACAGAGCCTTTTGACAATCTGATGACAGCAGTGGGTCTCCTCCCTAGGAAAATGCCCATACATAGAATTTTCTGAGCATTCAGATGTCCCTAGAAGCCAGGTAAGAACTGCCTGACAGGACACTAAGGCAGGATCGCAATCCTTTCTGCTGCTGAAACTGGCCTCTCCACAGCTCTGCCCTCCCAGGCCAGTGGGGCCACCCCCCGACCCCTTCCTCTTGTAAGGACTTTATGTTATGAGGGGCGGAAGGGGGCAGACCCAGGTGCTGGGAACTTACATCCTAGGAATCCCCAACAACCTGAGAGCTTAGTTTTCCTCATGGTCTCTTTCCTGGTTCATAGCTTCAGACACTCCTTAAGATGGGATCTGCATCTGTCATCCTATTCTACTTTGCATTGTTGAATTTTTCCATGACAAAAAGAATTTACAACATGGTATTCGGGTTTTCATCCTCCGCTCTCTCTGGGGCGGGGCTCAGCCTCCTTCTCACCTCGTCTCAGGGAGCTGGCAGCCCCTCTCCCAGCTTCAGGAGTTATCTTCACCCCAGGTGGGCACTTCTGTCTCTGACCACCTCCAGGCCTGGCGACACTCGGCTTACCAGGGAACTCTCTCTGCGTATTAACTTACAAAAAGGGAAAGATGAACCTCAAATGGGTTTTTGTTGACTTATTTTCTATTTCTCGTTAAAACATTTGATTTCAGCTGCTTTTTTATAATTAAGAGCAGAGACAACACTATTTTTAAAATGTAACCAATAGCAATAAAATCAGTAGAGTTTCCTTTTGTATTAGGGCTGGTGGTGGGAAAGTGGTTGAAGGTAAGGCCAAGAGCATGAATCGACAGAAAATGCAGGACGGTGCTGATGACATTCGCTAGGGAGGGATGCCAGCGAACAAAGCAAGCCACAGCCACCGGGTGGGAGGGCCGGGAGAGACTCCTGGGGTAACATCGCCATCTTGTGGTAT